CAGGCAGAGAGGGGAAAAAAACGAGGACCTGATGCCAGGGGCTTAAGTGGAGAGCAAATGTTTTGAGAATGATGAGGACAATGAATGCACAAATGTGCTTTACACAATTGATGTATGTATGGATTGTAGTAAGAGTTGTATGAGCCCCTAATAAAACGATTAAAAAGACAAAAAGAAAATTATGACAACAAATGTACAAATGTGCTTGACACGATGGATGGATTGTGATAAGAGCTGTATGAGCCCCCAAGAAAATGATTTAAATTAAAAAACTTATATATCAGGACTGAAATACATTCATGTGGGTGATTTAGCTAATGAAGAGTATGGTTGCCCCATTTTAGATGAAGATAGAGTAGTTGATGAGTTAGAAAACCAAATAGAAGAAGGTGGGGTTATTACTGATTACCATGGTTACTGTTTCTTCCCTGAACACTGGTTTCTTACAGTTTTGTTCTGAGAACAGATAACAGTGTATTGAATAAAAGACTTGAAAGAAGAGGTTATATTAAGAAACTGAAAGACAATATTTAGTATGAAAATGTTCAAGTTCTGTATGAAGAAGCCTGGCATCCTCCATGGAAGAAACAGTGCATCAGCGATCCAGCCACACGCCAGCAGAGGTAGAGGATAATATAACCAGATATGGAAACAGATCAAGCAATGGATGAAAGATCGTAGCTCCTGACTGTCAAGACTATCCACGTGGGTCACTCTTCTCGAGCTTTCTCTGCCCATCACAGAAACTGTCCAAGTATCAGAAACATTTTCACATTAAAGTTGTGTTACAGGACCAGCATATGGACAGGAGCAAAGATTCACGCCTGAGCTCTTTTTCTCCACCACAAAGCAAAACAACTGGCAACATAATGAACATAACATTGTTTAGGATTGCAAGTAAACACTGTCATTGCTTAATCCTTCCATGGTTAAAGGATAAATAAAGTGGGTTGAATATCAGCTAAATTTGCTCTAAAACCTTATGGTAATCTTTTACAATAAAACTTACAGCTTAAAGACGAGGAGGCGGGCACGTGAGTAGGCCTGGAGGGACCACTTTCATAAGTGGCGCCATCTCAGTAACTCGGAGCCCAGCTCTCTGCAACGCTGCGGCAGGCTGACCAGAGCCTGAGCCCCGCAGTTGTTTCTAAGTCCACTCTAAGACACTGCAAAGCCGTGTAGCACAGGGGACCACACTGCTAACCACAAGTGCAGGCCCACCAGCTGCTCAGTGGGCATGAGATGAGGCTTGCTCCTACAAAGAGTCAAGGTCTCGGAAACCCAGGGGGCCAGTTCTACCCTTGGATATGGCTCAATGGCAGTGAGCTTGACTCGAGTTTTGCTTGCTAGGATTGTAACTGTATTGTGAGGCACTCACATGCTTACAAAGAAGACGAGTATCTTAATCTTAGAAACGCAATCTCACATGTTGGGAGGAATTCATCCAAACTGAAAACGGACTCCGTGTGTTCAAGGTGACTGAACTGGACACTGACAAAGACAATGAACGGTCCTACTGACTAGCTTTACAAGCTTTGTAAGTTAAATAAAAACGTACAGTACGCTGGGACTTTTATTTTTTAATTAAAAAAAATCCACTTAAAATTGTAAATTGTCCTTTCTGGCAATGACCACTCTTTCTGGGAAATGGAAACATACAGTGACACCCCAGGCCACCCCATGTGCTTAAAGCAAGCTGGTCTGTCGGCAGGTGGGCAGCTGGGGTTGGAGTGCCCTCTGTGGAGACAACAACATGGGGAGCCTTCCAGAACAAGCATGTCTGAGCAACCAGGAGCAGTCTCTCCCGGCAGCTCGGACTTCCGCAGCCCCAGCGTGTGGTCAGTGGTGCTCACTGCCTGAGGGCCAGCCCCACACTGAGCCCTCAGAGCTCAGAGGCTGTGGTACGCTTAGTCGGAAGGGATGACTACAAGTGCCGACACCTGCCCGAAGGGGCACGTGAGACCTAAGGACAGGGCAGCCGTTTCAAGAACTGACTTCCTTCCTGGACATAGAAAATGCAATGGCTCTGTCACGTGACTCACACCGATGCCCATGCTGTACTCACTTTGCCCCGTCGAACACAATGGACTTGACCTGGCCGCACTGCCGGAAGAGCGACTGTAGCTGCTTGTAGTAGAGGAAGCCGTAGGGAGGGATGTGCTTCAGCTGCAAGACAACCCAAGCCCGCCATGGCCGCTGTGCAGCACACCGTCCGCATGCACTCAGAGCCCACAGCACCTGCTGGTTCAACGGCAGCAGCAGGCAGGGCCACCAGCCTCCACAGGTGCTAAATAAAGGCTAACCCGGCCCTGCTCACACAGTCCAACCATCTAATACAGCAAAACCAGGCTTTCTGTTTTCCCTTGACCTTAAAATAACTATGCTGACGACTCCAACCGTTTCTATAGCAGGAGCTGCAGGCCAGCTCTCAGCGAGAAGGCAGCTTGCTCTCTCCCCAGGGCCCTCAGTCTGCAATCAGGCACCAAGTGGCTAAGACCCTCTCCCCACAGTTCTGCTCCGCACACAGGCCAGGGCGTCACGGGTCTGAGCCTCAGCTCAAAGCTGTCAGCCGGTTGTTTTACTTGATGTGAAATCAGGCTGTTAATTAAAGAAATGTCCTTAAACATATGGAAAAGTGCCCCAAACACTTCAACAGGACATGACCAAAGGGGGCACCAGTCCTGAGCAAGGCTCCCTTTAAAGGCAAAGCAGGACCAAAGTGCGCGCAGAACAAGCAGGCCCGCCTGCAGAGTCACACAAGGTGAGGTAAGCCAAGACCCTCACGCCCCTCAAGGGCAATGAAGAACCAGGATGCAGGTTCTGGATCGGCCAGCTGCCTCCATGGGAGACCACCCCGACATGTCCATCTACTCCACCTACCACGACGGTTGTCTTTGGGTCGTTGCCGGCCAGCTCCCTCACTGCCATTTCCTCATCGGGCTGCCCGAAAGTAAAGTAGTTTGGATAAAAAGCACCTGCCAAAACAACCTGGAGAAGGCACACATTTGTGAGGCCTAATTGGCCGCACTGTTCTAAAACTGCATGACCCCCTCGGACCCACAGCACCAGCAGCAGACAGACTCACAGTCTGCTAGAGGGCCCCGGGAGGGAGTCACCGGGCTGTTCCAGGTGGGGTACTGAGCTTTGGTGTCAGGGGAGGGGAGGGAGGGGGACAAGCATTTGAAAACAGGTGTGGTGGTTTGGTTGCACAATGTGGTGCACGGCACTGGTTTACACGTTACATACAACTTACAGCGTAACTGATAAGGGCCCTAGGTACAAGAGAACCAAGCCCGCCCACACTGTGCCTTCCTCACAACTGCTGCTATGAATTTCAGCCCATTGTTGCAGCCACTGTGTCAGTCCTCCTCCTGCGGGGTCTTCCTCTTTTGTGCTGCCCCTCTCCTTTACCACACATGATGTCCTTCTTCAGGGATTGGGCCTTACTGGTAACAGGTCAAAATAAGTGAGACAAAGTCATGCCATCCTCGCTTCTAAGGAGCATTCTGATTGTGCTTCTTCCAGTGCACTCCAGAATCCTCGCCAACACCACAGTGCCACGCTCCGATTCTTCTTGGGCCTGTCTTATCCCTGGTCCAGCTGTCACATGCTTACAGGGCAATGAAAGTACCACAGCTTTAGTCTGGCGCACCTTCATCTTTAGGGACACCTGTGCTTTTTTAACATTTGCCCAAAGTAATATACGAGGGGGTACCAAAAAAACTCCTCTTTTTTTAACCCCAAAGCAATGAATTTTAGGTTTTTTACAAAGCAATCTTATCATCTTCAAAGTACTCATTAAGCTGAATACATTTGTCAAATCTGCGATTCCATTCTTGGAAACATTTTTCAAACTCATCTCTTTGGATGGGTGACAGCACCTCCCTCGTTTTTTCCTTCACCTATTTCATCAAATTGCTGTCCTTTTATGTTCTCCTTCATTCTCAGAAACAAAAAGAATGTGCAGGGAGCAAGGTCAGGTGAGTAATGTGCATGGGGCAAGCTAAGCACGCTGTTTCTTGCCAAAAACTGGAGCACTGAGATGGCTGTGTGAGCAGGTGCACTGTCATGGTGGCAAAACCAGTCCCCCTGATTTGTCTGCCACAAATCAAGCCTTTTTTGTGGCACCCTGTTATGCAATCTTTGCAGAACCTCTAAATAGAAAGCATGATTAACAGTCTGACCTGGTGGAACGAACTCCAAAGGCACTCTTCCCCTCACATCACATCCGGTTTTTTGATTTCTAGACTGCTGCTTCTACAGGCATTTATTGTAGATCCCAATAAAATGAAATCCCTAACAACTGACATCTTTTCTCTGTTGACCAAGATGTTGTTTGCTGGTCTCCGTGCAGGAGTTTGGCTGTCTTGCTGTGAGGTGAGCTCCATACTGAAAGCTGCATTCTTTGGTCTTCATCACTAAGTGCTGCCAGTCCTCCTGCTCTTTATTCACCCAGCAAGGCCGTTTCGTCTGCACGTCACAGCTAGTAAGTCTTCCTCCGATTCCAACGCTGCATTCTTCATACAGTCCAGCGTCTCTAATGAATTTGCTCAGCACACAGATTAAATCTATATGGTGGCGAGACAAGCCTGACACAACACTCCTGATTTTAAATCATACAGCAGTCCCCTGTTCTGCTTCAAATTGCCTCTTGGTGTTATGTATAGATTCCACATGAACACATTCATGTTTTCTGAAATTTCCATTATCCACATGTTATGCGTAATTTGTTATAATCCAGTTGAATGCATTTACATAGTCATAAAACACAAGTGAACATCTTCCTGGCATTTACTGTTTTCAACCAAGACCCATCTGATTATCAACAATGATATTCATCATTCCATGACTTACATTTCTGACAGGTCTCTGTCCATGTATTGCTGCAACCATTTTTCCTTATGTGTAATTATTAATAATACGTTTGATAATTTCAAGTAATGAATTGGGTCACCTTTGTTTGGAATGGACACAAATAATGGATTTCTTCCGGCCATTGGCCAGGTAGCTCTCTTCCAAATTTCCTGGCACAGTGAGTGCTTCCAGTGCTTCATCGGTCAGTCAGACATTTCAATTGGTATCCCACCAATACCTGGAGCTTTGTTTTCAACTAGTGTCGTCAGTGCAGCCTGGACTTCCTCCTCCATGCCACTGGTTCCCCATCATATGCTACCTGTGGTAAAGGCTCAGCACTGAACCTGCTCTTTTTGGCACAGTGATTCCTGTATGGTTCTGTGACTCTAATGCATCTGCCCCCCCCCTTGCATCTTCTTTTGATGCTCCCTGTACTGTTCAATGTTTTGCCTTCAGAAATCTTCATTGTTGGAACCCAAGGCTTGTTTTGTATTCAAATCTTGAGAAATGCTGAGTGAATTCTTCCCTTCTTGTTTTCTAACTCCAGATCTCTTCATGCTTTGTCATAATGATTTACTTTGTCTTCTCCAACCGCCCTCTGACATTTCTCCTTCATTTCTTTTCCTTCATCGTTGTCCATTTGCTTTCCTTTGGCCTTTTCTAAACGCACTTCCTGCACAGAATCCGGAGACCCCACACCACAAGCTACAAGCCTGAGCTCGTGGTCTCCAAAGTTAACAGTCGTGGAAGGAAGCAGCTACAAACACCCAACTCTACCGACAGCATTTCTGTTTCTCCAGAGTTACAGCTAAAGGGTTTTTCCTGAAGCAGCAGGAACAGCTGGCACCCAAGGGAAACAACTCCCCGTCATTAGCAGGCATCCAGGACCACCTGCTTAGTTACATGGGATCTGAGACACAAGGACCATATCGTCCTGGCCTCCAAACACAGTGTGACCCCTCTGGTCCTACAGGATCTTTTGAGGCATGTGGTGTCTGGTCTCTGTGAGAACAAAGGACCAGGAGAGGTGCCCAGGAAGCCCCACACACCTGGAGGATGAACCGCTGCTTGTAGATGTACTCGTGGTCCAGGGCGGGTCTTCGAGAATCCACACACATGTTGAACTGTGAGATCCGAGTCTTCAGCTCTTCATATAATTCAGCCACCTATGGGAAACACTATGATGGCTCAGGACCCATGTTATTCAGACTGAGAGAAGCACACGATCAGGGGAGTCTTGGTCTCAATGCACCAACAGTCCCTTATTAGAGAAGACTCCATCCAGGATCCAACACTGTACGCACCACCCACACCCACACCCACACACACACACACACACACACACACACACAAAACAACATTGTGAGACGAGCATAGAAATAATCACCAGCGGGTGTGCCCTCCCATCCTTAAACACTATCCAAACCTCTGTCAGGGATGTGTACTGCCCTGTGACTGAAAACAAGCCGAGGGACCAACAGGGAAACAGACCTCGGAAAGGAAAAGATAGCACCCGGTTGTAACCGAGCCTCGGCACATCGGCCACACAAGCACATGAGCACACAGGACTCCACGTGTCCAAGACACTGGTCACACATCATGTGTCCCCACAGGGTCATGAAGCCACAGAAACCATACCTGTGGGGGGGCGGGAAAGAAACTAAGACCCACGGTGGGAGGAACCTGGGAAATGGGAACAGGGAACGGGGCGTGAACCCCCATCAGCCCTCTATTTCTCCAGTAGCAACAGCAGCCATGTACAAATTCTCTGGAAACCAATGGAGAATTTGGCACAGTGCTTTCAGTCACTCCACCAGGCAACGAAGTTAGAGATGACCCATGAGGTCAGGGACAGAAAAAAAATGCCTTTGTATCTGCAAATGACCAAGCACTGTTCTGTGGGCCTCTTCTGTCAGAGGGAGCAGTTAGGCACTGTGATCACAACTTGGACACAGAGACATTGGGGGCCTGCACCTCCACACCAGAAGCTGGGGTCAGGCTTGCGCTGACACAACACAAGCCATGGCTTAAAGTACTTCTGTTAATGAGGAAGACTGGAAGCATTCAGGGATTTAACTACTGGCCTCAGCAGGGTTTAGGACATAATAACGCAAGAGAAGTGGGAGAACCATGTTCATGGAGAAAAACTGAATCCATTCAAATCCTCCCTGACGTTCTCTATCCCCTACTCCCCAACACACACACACACACACACACACACACACACACACACACAGAGGAATCAGTGTCTGAATCAGCTTAAGAGCAAGTTCTCAGGAAGGTGGGAAAACAGACCAGAATGTGGTACAAATCGAACCAGGAAGCATCATCAGCAAGGAAAGCCCAGGCACTACCCAAGCTGCTATAGTAACAGGGTCCCTTTACTCCTGAGAGCTGTGCCTAGGGCCCCTGAGGATCCCCAGACACCAGGCCCTCAAGTGAGAAGAGTGTTTACAGGAAGGCTCCACAAGGGTCCGGAGCTCCCTGAGAAACTGAAGGGTCTCCTGGGAACACTAGCCATACAAGAGCATGGGCCCCAAGCTTTGCCAGGATCCGACAAACTCACTAGGGCCAGCTACTACCAGCGGCTTCAACCTGGCCCCAGGCATCAAAACATCCTATGAGGCAGCGCAGCCCACAGTCAGCCTAGGCTAACAGTACACAGGCACACGGGCAACAAACACACTTTACTCCCACACACAACCGTTCCAGAGAAAACACCATCCATCAGAATCCCGCCACATTGTCAAAGGGAGCATAATCAGGTCAGGTTACTGCAAGAACACAAGGTGGCGTCAGCTCTAGGAAAAGTCTGTTATCTTTAGCTATAAACCAAAACTGAACCGTGCTTACTGTCGTCTAGCTGGTCCCCAGAGCTATCCTTTAGTCCAGGGCTGGGAAACCTTGTTTCTGCCAGGGCTACTTGAGGGCCAGCATGGTCCAACATTTCATGAACTCACCCCAAGTGTGATGGCTGGAACTGCTTCTCTTTTGGGAGGTGGGTGAGGCTAGCTGGAACTGAGGATTCTGAGCCCACAGGGCTGATGTTCCCCACCCCGCCTTAGTCAAAGCAAATATAACTTACCTCTCTGATTCTCTTGATTTGAATGTAATGTAACCGTCCCCAGTCAAGTTCATCCTTTAAACACACAGAAGCCAAGTCTGCAGTTAATACAACTGCAACACATTAGGATTCCACTGGGCTACGCTCACAAGTGCACACACCTGTACTCCATCTCTTCGACAAGTGTCACGATGGCCACAAGTTCACTCTACTTCAGTGGACACAGTGCCCACCCTTCTCCCACAAAGTCTTCCACTGCCCAGCACAGCAGCCTGCCCCTTTGAGTATCCCAGGGGGAAGCTGACTGACAGGTGACACCGATAGGCAGCAGGGGGAGGGGGGAGAAAGAACATCGCCTCATTGGGAAACCTGGCCAAGAGCTATCAGGCATTCCCAATTCCCACACACAGACCTGTCAGCAATCTTTTGAAGCCAATCAGTTTAAAAGTCACACTATAGATGAAGCCCTGACCAGGATGAAAGAAAATAGGGGCCAGGGGGTGAACCTTCTTTTCTGTCTAGAACTCAACTGACGGTATCAGGGGAAAGGATGCAAGTTCTTAATTTTGAGCCAGCACATTCACCAACCCCCACCCACACCCCAGGCAGTAAGCACTTGGAGCCAGCGAGGTGGACACTTAGGAAAGAGACCCATGGGGCCTCGGAAAGCGAACAGCCCACCAAACTGCACCTGGGCCCCACCCAGGAGCACACGCAAAGGCCAGACATTGGGCATTCTGCCAAGGGACCAACCCACTGGCACCCAGCCTGTGGCTCCCAGACAACGGCCAGGAGCCTCGGCTCAGACCTGAGGTCTGCGGGGACAGACAAGGAGCAGAAACCTACCTTGGGGTGCCGTAGTTCTCCGCTCCGCCGGCAAGCCTGCCAAGTCTAAGCACCAACAACCCTGGTTAAAAAGGTAGCCATGGCTCCCTCACCAATTAAATGTGCTTCCTACATACATCACCCCAACCCCTCTGGACCATAGAACACTGAAACAGCAAAGGTTACCGACAGTTTCATAAAGCCCGACCCCCCCAGGCCAAGGCATTCATGCTGGATGTCCATAAACCAGCAATGCAGTCCTGTTCCCTGCCCCATAGTGCTGTGGCCAGATATCAACTAACTAGCCCTCCTGGCAACCCCTCCCTGCCCCCCCCCACCCCAGAACTGCACCACAGAAAATTTACTTTGAACGCCTCAACCAGAGCAATGCAGTCACTCTTGCTGTCACCGGAGAAACTCACTTTGTTCCTACAGAAAGAAACCACGTGTCACTGGATACCACAAAAATGAAATGCCATTTTTAAGCATGAATGTCAGTCACCTGTATCCATCAAGATGCTGTCTGAAAGGCATTGCAAAGAAGTTCTTCAGAGAAAGGGCAGCCGCTGGTGAGAGAGCAGAGAGGACACCAACAGTCAGAGTGGCCCCTACCCACCCAACAAACACCCCACCCCCACCTTGAGCAGCACCGGCAGCTCTGGGAACAGACACTCACCTATGATGAGACACTCGTCCAGACAGCCGAACACGTGTCCAAGGGCGATGAGTTTACCGAGCTGCTGGTTGACAGGAAGCTGGGCAAGGAGCCTGCCCAGGAAGGTCAGCTCGCCATCATGGGGGTTCTCGCCCTCTTTCTGACCACTGACGGCCAGAGCACCGACCTGGAGAAGGTGTGTGAGTACTGCTGGCAAGCTCGGCGCACTTGTCCCCCAAGTTTGTTTTCAAGGGGGCAAGGGAGCAAGAATTTAAAACAAAAAACAAGCCAATATTGGTGAATACGGCCGTGAAGGGACCCCAGCGCATTTAAAATGGGGCACTGCCAGAGTCACTTTCCTTTCCACGGTGGAACACAGGACCCAGGTCCCTCTTTTCAGGTGGAACATGGAAACTTCCCCAGAGGTCTACATAACTCATGGCTTCACAAGCACAGCATGCACAGGGTAAATAAGGACACCAGTGATCACACGATGCCTGTCAATCCTGGCCAAAGCCTACTCAACCACACACACACACACACAAAGTGCACTCGACAGAAGCCATGCAGGAGCCAGAAGGAAAGGTCAAACATCACAGTCCAGCTGACTTTCAAGGCCAGAAAGACATCACAGACCTCGGGCAGCTGAGCAACAGAAGTTCATAAATAAATCATTCCAACATGTTGGGACCACAGAAACTCACTTCAAACATTTCAGACACCATCATAGATCTGCTCATCCTCCATCAACACAGATGACTCATATTGGACGTCCATGGACCACAACACAGCTCCCCTTTCTACCTCGGAGATTCATTGCGGCCACTGTGTCTCTCCATCTCCTTGACCAAGGATGAGGTCCTCCTCCAGGGTCTGGTCTCTCATGATTACATGGCCAAAGTACATGAAGTGAAGTCTTTCCATCTTTACTTCTAAGGTACATTCTGGCTGTACTTCTTCCCAGAGAGAACTGTTTGTTCTTTTGGCAGTCCACAGAGCATTCAATATTCTTCACCATAATTCAATTACATCTATATTCTTCATCGGTCTTCCTTCCTCAAAATCCAACTTTCACAAGCATATGAGGCATGTTAGTCTGGGTAGACTCGAGAAACAACTTCATACACACTCACATGTGTATAAGAAAGAACTTTATATACAGAGCAACTGTACATTAAGAAAACATCCCAGCCCAATCGAGATCAACTCCCTAAGTCTGATATCAGCCCATATGTCCGATACCAATCTATAAAGTCCTCGTGAGACTCACAAAATACATGCAATAATGCCAAACGCAGGAAGATCACAGGTCAGTGGGTGGAAGTCTTGTGGATCCAGTGGCATTGTATGCATTTCAGTGCTGGCAGGGGTCTCCACATGGCTTCTCTGGCTCCATCAGCCCTCTCTCCATGTGTCTTCTCCACAAGGATGTCTTGCAGGGAGTGAGCAGAGAGAGAGAGTGTCTCCCGCCTCCAAGGAGGAATACAGGAGTTCCCAAATTCCTCAGGAGAAGGCCATGTCCACACAGAGCCCTCATTGGCTTTATTCTGATTGACAGGCTAGACTCCACCCCTATACTCTTAATCCTCAAATTGACACCAGATTATGTAACTACCACAAGGCAACTGAAAATGTTTTAAAATATTTTGAATTGAAAAAGTTTAATAGAGGAACTTCCAGGAAGATGGCGACTGAGTAACATACCAGAGGGACTCCACAGAAATCAGCCCAGAAGAGTTACTAAGGAAAATTCAACACTCTGGATCACAGGAGGAGCATCATAAAGATAAGTAGGCACAGATCCACAAGGTTTCGAGGAGCTGGGGGCTTTGGGCTTACTACAGTGGAGGGCAGCTAGGGTTTGACCTTAGCCCTGTCACTGTCTTGGCCGGAGCCGGGACCATTTGGAGCAAGCGCAGAGGCTTAATCTCAACACAACCACAGTTTGCTGCAGCCTTGGGGCAGGGATTAAACTAAACCCTTGCAGCCCCAAGGGCTGGAATCAGGGCTCAGCTACATTGTTACTTTTGTTTCCCTCTCTTCTCTCTATCCCTACCCAGGCTCAGCGGGCTTATTTTTTTGTTTTCTTTTTCCCTCTTTGTCTCTTCCCTGTTCTCTCACACACACCACTGCCCTTAGCCTAAGGCATTTTCACCTGCCCCCCACACCCACTTAGGTGAGCTCCACCCTGTGCAGGCAGCCCCAGTCAGGGGAAAGCCCACTTGCCCTCCACCAGGGGATACTACATGTGGAGAGCTCCTATTTTTCCTGTTGGAACTTCCTCCCGCCTACCTTAGTGCCTCACACAGCCTAAGGCAGCTTGGCCAAGACTCGCCCATGTTCCACGCTGCTGCAGGAACCTCTTCCCAAACTCTGCAGTGATCTATCTGGCCAAGGCAATTCCACCCATCATCTGCAGTGTTCTACAACAAAGCAAGCAACCCACCAGCCTTCTGGGGCACGACCCTGAGAGGGAAGCCACAGGAAGATAAAGTGGAAGGCTAATTCCATAGTGAAATTAGCTGTAGGCAGTTCAAAGAAGCATTCCTACAAGTCTCCCAGAGAGAACCAGTGCTCTTCGACTCCCTGGAAAATGACACCTGGCTCCTCTAAAACAACTCAACGCAAAACAGCCATCAGCCCCAACGAACTCAACGAAAAAAACCAGGCGTAACAAAAGTCAATGGCAGAAGATGCCCTGAACCTAAAGACGTGCATAAAAGAAGAAAACATTGATCTGCCACAGTAAGAAAATTTCAGAATGCTGTTTGGAGTCATACAGGATATGAGGGAAACAATACAGAAAAAGGATGAAATGATAGAGGAGATAAAGGCCATACACCGAAGGAAAATACGAGAGCTTAGGGAGGAGATAACAAAAACCAGTAGCAGAAAACAGACCTCGAGAATCGACTGAAGGAAGCAGAGAACCGCATCAGTGACTTGGAGGACAGCCAAGCAGACATTAACAAACACAAACAAAAATCTAATAAAATCATCAGAGAAGCTGAAGAAAACCTAAGAGCTATGTTCTGATGCTATGAAGAGGAACAACATTAGAATTATTGGCTTACTCGAGGAAGACACACAAAGAAGTCATCTGCAACAATAGTGAGAGAATTCTTGGAGGAAAACTTCCCCAGCTTAATGAATGAAAACCAGGCAACCATTCAGGAGGCAGAAAGAGCACCAATCAGACTGAATCCCAAGAAGACGTCACCAAGGCACATAATAGTTAAACTATCCAACTTTGAGGAAAAGGAGAAAATCATGAGAGCAGCTATGGAAAAACAAGCAATCACATATAATGGTTCCCAAATAAGAATATGCTCAGACCTACCAGCAGAAACTATGAAGAAGAGGAGAGAGCGGAGTAACATATTCCAAAAATTGAAGGAAAACAACGCAAACCCAAGAATACTCTACCCAGCCAAATTATCGATCAAG